ATATTCTGGTGTCTTTCAGATAGGAATTATATAGATTGGAATGTCAAATATATGCTAAATTTTTGTTTAATTTTCTTAAAGGCAGCCATTTTCTTAAATTTTAAGAAATTTGTAAACAAAAACAAAATTTTGATTTTAAACTTCTTCCTAAAATAAATTTTATATATTTTTGACACGTTTTGAGTAAAATTAGAAAAGTTTAAAGTTAAATTAATCTGATATGAAACAAACAGTACTTATAGCATAAAAATTTGTATCCAAACATTTCTTAACGATGTGTCTGAATTTATCAAAGAAATTGATTGTGATGAGCTGATGACAGATTACTATGGATGATCAAAATTGACAATTTTTGTAAGTAAGCAAACGCGATTTTTCGTTTTAACTAGTACTTTTTAAATATTAACATTTTTATTCAGCAATTATTTAATATCTATTTTTTATTTCATACTTTCTTAATTAGATAATAGTTTAAAGTTTTTTTTATTAATTAGATAATTGTTTAAAATTTTTTAAGGATTATGTCATGTATACCTTTCCATACGTAGAAATTATGAATGTGTTTTTTTTTGTTTTTTTTTTCAATACAAAATTTTTAAAAAAAATTATTTTAAAAATATTTTGGGTCAAACGACTTATGTACTTTTCAAATTTCAATATGTAAATTTACTTTTTCATTAATGTTATTGCATTACGTGCTTGAAAGAAATAAAGAATTTTAAACGATTTTTGAAGTATTAAGAAGTTAATGATAAAAATTAAAAAAACTGGGGGAAAAAATTGTAAAAAAATACATTATTCATTGAAAAATTTTTATTTCTTCAAAATAATGTCCTTAGTATAACATATTTACAAAAACAGGTGAAAGCTTTTCTAATTAATTAATGTCATACTTTTTTACATTTTTTTTTTTCATAATTCAAAGCAGATTTTCTATGAAACCGGGTACTGTTTTACAAAAAAAAACCGGTGATTTACTTTCTACAAAGAGTCCTGTTTATAACTAATAAAACAAATCCCGCACGTGAAGATTTAATTTCTTGAAATTTCATGAAAATATGTAAGTGGGTGGAAACATGTTTAAAAAAAAAAATTTCAAAAATAATTTCATTCATTTTTGAATAAGTCCTGAAAGTTTCATTAAAATCCGACAATTATTTGATTTTTGCAAGAATTTCCTAATTAATGTGTGTTTTTCTCGGGGGTGGGGAAAAGTGCAAAATAAAACAAACCATTTTTAGTCTTTTCACACTCGTAAAAAAAAAAAAAATTTTAACCAAAATTTTCTACATGCTAGAAAGGAGTAAAAAATTTCAAAAAATATTTTAAAAATACTTTGGTCTTTCCTCTTAACAATATAAACATATTGAGACAAAATTTTGTTTCCGTTGATTTATGGACCTTTAATCATCGTGATATGCTGCTTTTTTTAAGTGACCTAATGGAGGAACCTACACAAGAGTGCCTTGCTGAGCCTGCTTGGTTTCAGGCTGTCTGCTGACCTGAGGTGGAACGAATACATTGAATCAATAGCTTCATCAACCACCATAAAAAAGAAGTGCACTCCTTTTCCTATTCCATCAATACATTGTAAAATTATATCAACAAATTCTTAACTGTATTTTCACCTAATCTACTCAGTTTATCATTCCCCAATTAACCACAAACATCAGCTTTAAAATTTATTTCTTCATTCTTATGTGTGCTGATGAAAAGTGAGTAGAATAATTGGTAAGGTTGGAAAAATTTTAGAAATTTAATTTAGATAAACAGTCTTGTCATGCATGCATAAAAAATCTCCCAAATAAATACTAATTTTATCAACAAAAAAAAAATCTTAAAATCTCTTCATTTGAATATTGATTTTAAATTTCTTCTGTCATATTTCACAATAATTTTGCCAATGTAATCTGTTCTGAATAATTAATGAAAATTTTTCAACTCACTGCATACTTTTAAGAATAGTTAAAAATGTGTACAATTTCTAAACTATTTTTTTAACTTGCAAGCTGTGATGTATGTAAAATAATGTTCCTTACAAGATGGGGGAGGCAAATCATTAGGGTGGGATGGAAAAACATTGTTGGCACATGCTAATAGAAAACAGTTTGTTGTTTGTTTTTTTTTTTTTTTTTTTTTTTTTTCTCTCTCTCTCTGATTTGGCACTTCTCAGTTTATTTTGTTTTTTATGACAATTGTGAGCTTTTTGACAGTTAATATTGAATCATCATATCTTTTCAGACTCGTTAATTTATGGAATATTTAAAGTGCCCTAGTTGAATTTCATTTTAAAAAAATTAAGCATTAATTTTTAAATGTCCTATTTAAAATTAAGGTCCAAAAAAAAAAAAAAAAAGAAAAAATGTGAAGCAAAATTTAGTTTTAAACTAAAGTGTAGGTGTTTTTTTTTTTTTTTTTTTTTTTGTTAAATGCATGGATATTTGTACAAAAACAGAAATCACTACTAAATCTCACTCTGTCTTATTAACTACCACAAATTCAGTATTTTCAAATTTTATTTATCAAATTAGAGTTCAATTTTTAATAAAAGACGCTTTCCAAAATTTTCCTATCCTCTGAGGCTTATTCTGAAAATGCCTTTTAGTCTGCAATGGCTTAACAGGTTTAAATTTGTGAAATTCTTTGCTTCACTTTGAAAGAACTCATCCTCTGAGTCCTCATTACCTAACCTGCTGCTGCTGGAATTCATTTTTAGGTTGGACAATTCTTTATTGATTTCCTCCTAGATAAGTTTTTCTCTCATCCTCATCTAACCAATTCAAGTATGTGAACTATTGTTTGCAATGCAAATCTTAAATCAATTTCACTGCACAGGGCTTCCGCCAACAGCTTAAAGAATTTCAGCTTATCCTTTTTTTTTTTTTTTTTTTTCTTTCTCTCTAATTGTTTGATAGTCAAGATAAGGAATCCAGCATAACAGTGTTTGACATCCTAGAGGATTAACAGGCTTAGGTAAATGGCGTCATAACTTCCAAGTATTTGGCTATAAAGAGAATTTTCTCGTAACTTTTAAAGTTCAAATATGTCTATTAGAAAGTTTAGGTTGTTTTCACTTCCTTTCAAAACCTTATGGAACCTCTTCAGTACTTCAAAGGCTGTTCCACCTAGTTATAACCTTATTTCCCCTGCATTTTTTCATTACTTCCTCTGCCATCTGTGTGGATGCTGCTGCTTATTCCACATAACATGGCATTTGGCCAACTCTCTTAGCATTTCTCAAAGCTACCTCTGCGATTTTGGTGAAAATTAAATGAAGTGTTTCTGCAACAATCATAATAAGGAGGAAGATGATAAACCTCTTCAAAGTGAAACCTCTCACCTAACATCTCTCCTTTTGATTGTGCTTGGTTGGATCAGTCTTCTTCATTGGAGACTTCAGAAGTAACAGATTCCTTGAAAGCTTTCACAAGATTACTGGCATTGTCTGTCACTACACTCACACATTTGTTGTGGATGCAATATTCTTAGAATATTTTCAATGATTTTGGCTAGAATATCATGTATGACTGCAGCTCATTCTGGAACAGGCTAGGGCCACTATCTTTCTGTTCAAGCCTCATCCATGCCAAGATATCAAAAATTATTTATGCAATTATTTTTAAGTTTAGAACAAGACTGAAAGCAAAAGTAGACTTTAAATACAAACATTTTTGACAATTTATTTTTTTGAAGGAAGATATTTGGCATTGTGTTGTGGTTGTGAATTGCAGTAGGTGAAAAAAACGGATTTTAAAATAATCATACAATTTATTTGGACTCTGCAAAATATTAAATTAGCAAGATTTAGCAGTATGAGGGTGAAAATGTCCAAATACTATATTTCAGTTTGTCATTTATCAAATTCTTTGCTATTATTATGACTGGACATCCTGAACTTAGTTGGTGGAAGGATTCTTTGTTGAATGGTGAGACTTCCAACAGACAGTTGAAAGAACTTGGCAAATGTCTGTCCACTGTCCAGCTTTTATAGTTTCTTGTAGTTGAGCTTTCTCCAAGACTTCATAGATACTCATTTTTATTGGTTGGAAAATACTTTGATTACTCACTGATAAACATTACCACCAACATTTTGGAAAGGTTTTTAACTCTTGGGAAAAGTCTGTTTAACATGACATTAAGTTTATCCTGGTTCTTTAGTGTCAACAATAAAAAATAAAAAAAAAATTAAATAAATAAAAAAAATTTTTTTTTTTATTTAAATGCATGTTGACTTGCAATATGAAACAGTTACATGTTTAATGTCTAACCCAAATATTGGGTTACCCAAAAGGTTTATTTACTTATTAAGTAGAAAATTTACTTAATAAACCAAATGGACCTTTTGGCCAACCCAATACAAGCTGAAATTTCAGCTCCCAAAAGTAAATAAATTGCCTCCCACCCTTTTTTTTTTCTCTCTACAGCTTACTGCAATTCCCTTCACCCCCCCCCCTCCGAAAAGCTTGTTCAAACATTGAATATGAGCTTAAAGGATTATTGCTGAAGGTATCAAATTTAATGAAAAATTTAAAAAAAAAAAAAAATTTAAAAGAGAAAGTTGAATTGTATAAATTTATTTGTTGTGATTCAATGCAAAAGATTAGTTAAGATGGCAATCTTGATAAATTGGCAGTTTGATATGCCGATATAATTAAACAAAGGAAGGGAAAGATTCTTCAAATTCAATACAGACAGTGATTCCAAGAAGCTAACTTGCATTAGAAAAACAATGAAATAAACAGTTTGAGGAGTACTGAGCATGACTTACTGATGATAGAATAATGGGTTCAACAACATTGAAGTGATGCAGTGGAATTTCGTTAAATTAATTATGTAAATTTAATATTTATAGTTTTGCATGGGGAGGTAACTCATCATTATCTAAGTTCATTCTGATGCCATTTAACATAACATTTTTGAGTATTGCTTTATTTTGTTTCTCTCTATTATTTTATATAGTTAGATTTCTAATTTTTTTTTTTATTCTGATTCTTTAACAGGATTTAAATATAATGGTATGGATCATGCAAGTGCCCAAAACAATCCAGAAAGTGCTACAAATGTAAAGAGAACTACAATATTACCTGCAACTGTAGAAAATTATTTAGCAGTTGAAGATGATCCAGTTAAGTCATCGAGCCAACAAATAAAACAGGCAAGTGAAAAACAAACAAAAACAAAAAGCAGTACAAACAGATCATCTTATGTGACACCTGCAACCAAAGATCAATTAAATTCTTCCAAGCAACAGGAACCCACTGCAAAAACCAACATGGACAGTTCTAAGAATCTCTTTACCAATTTTTCTTTGCACCAATCTTTGAAATCAAATCCAATGCTTCAAGGACTTTCAGGCAATTGTGATAAAACATGGCCAGTTTCATTGTTTCAAAGTGCTGATAAAACTAAGGAAACCCCAACAACCACCTGCTGCAATTTTACAAAGGGAATCTGCTCAACATCCTCTGCTGCCTCCAGTACAATTACTCAAGATGATAAAATAAAGCTTTCCTGTAATTTTTCTCTCACTAGCAGCCACTCCTGTAATGGATGTAACAGCAACAATAATGGTAGCACTAGTACTATCAATTTGCTTTCTAATAAGAATATGAACACTAACTCAAGTAACTTTTTTAAGACTGCTCACAGTACAATGTGTATACCACAACAGAGTTCATCAGTCATTATTAGCTCACCATTTAAGCATTTAATGGTTGGGCCAAAAATCAGCAATATGCCAACTCCATTTAATGGACCTCTAAATAGTAATAGCACAAGCACATCCTGCCAGAAACCTCCAGTGACTGATACAAATATTAACCAAGAAAAAAATTGTAAAATACTTTTTCATTCGGGTAAAGGTGAAAACCTTTTTATTGGCACACCTGCTGCTGAACAGACAGGCACAGAGAATGCACGCAATGACAGTGATAGCGTTCTGAAAAAGAATACTAGTGCATCTGCATCAGTCTCTGAGCATAAATCTAGTAAAGCTAAGTTAGCTACAATGGATCCGGAACAGTTGGCTCTAATAAAGCAACGAAAAAGAGATAGAAAATTCCGAAAATTGCAGTCGCTCTCTGCCCTGATGAGGGCTCCCGATGACCGACATAGTATGGGTCCGTTAACAGCACTAAGAAGGGAAATTGTTCCTAACAAAATTTTAGGGATGCCAACACCTAATTTATCACCAAAACTTAGCTCTTTATCATCAAACCCATTCAATCGTCCATCACTAACAGGCAACGATCAGCTGAATAAACTTTCTGTAAGTAACCCTTGGAAAGGTGAGAACACAAAGAAGCCTTGTAGCTTCATTCATGAACCATCTCTGAAAAACAGCGCAATTCTCAGTCAGAACTCGGAATTACCAAAGAGAAAATTTGATTATCAGAAAGATGTGAATTCTTCAAATAGCAACTTTGGAGTCCTAAATATATGGAAACCAATGGGAAACACAGAACCTGTAAAAGAAATTCGATCATCCTCTGCATCTTCAGTGATTGATGATGCTTTGCGTATTGCTGCCCTGAAATTCATAAAGAATGAAGTTAAAGATAAGGACTCTACAACACAAAAGGATGCTATGCCTATTTCTAAAGAGATTTTTGGCAGTAACAAGATAAAAACCCCAAACTTTTTTCTCCCTCACCCAAAGGAAGATAGTTATTCAGAGTCTGCTACCTCTTCTGGTGAAGACAGCACAAAGGATAAATCGCCAAACAAAAAGTTGAATGTTTGGTCAGGGGAAGATAAGTCTAGAAATACATCTAAACCTGTTGCTAGGCCTGTGATCAAATCTCGTAACAGAACATCCAAACTTAAGAAGAAAGATCAAATAAATGAAGCTACCTCTGAGCAGAATCATTCTTTGGCATATGACAATAAGAGACCTATTGAAAAATTATCTGATGATGACTCTTCTGCCAAAGAACCTGAGAAGATTTATCCTGAAAGCAAACGAAATAAAGTGTCAGAAGAAGCCAAAGAGAAAATATCTGTTCTTCCAAGGAAACGTGGACGACCACCACTGTCTAGTAAATTAAAGGCTCTTAAGTCGGTCAAACGTCGGGGTCGACCACCATTGCTTGGGGCATTGAAAGCTAAATTACAGCAGAGAGCAGTGAAATCTCAGCGGACTTACGCCAAACACAAACTTCCATCTGCATCATCCAATCTTCCCAAACGACGTGGTAGGCCGCCCAAGAATCCAAATGCACCTTCTTTAGTGTCCGCTCCCAAACCTAAAATCCCCAAACTGACTGATGAGGAATTACTCAAAGTGAAGCTGAACATCCCGAGGAGGCGTGGCCGACCAAGTAAAGCAGAGGCAATGTTGCGAGAAATGGCTGTAGCCCATTTGGCTGCAGCTGAGAAAGCCAACACTGATGCTGGCGAAGTCAATATTGGCCTCGGCCTCACTATCAGGCCAAGGCCAGCGAGGAAACAAAGCTCCGCTTCACGGCACCACTGCCAACGTCAACAACCCGTGTCTGCAGAAGATACAGGATCATATACAACCAAAAAAATAAAGACGGAACCTGTTTCTTCAGAAGAGTCTACATCAGGTGATGTAACTGTAGCTATCAATAATTTGGAGAAAGATGTTAAAGTTGAAACCAGTACAGAAATATCAGAAGATAGTTTAACACCTGCTACATCATCAGCGTTTGATAATGGGCAACGCAAAAGAAAACCTATTAAAAAGTATGTAAAGACTGATCCCGATTATGTTAACAATAGGAAATATGCATATAATAGGACTGAGGACACTACAACTGAAGTTAATGTAACAAAGGACAGTGCTGAGGATGAAAATGGGAATGTGCCTGCAAATCGCAGCCGTCCCCTTCTCTTGAGAAATGTCAAAAAGAATAGTAAACCCTTACCAACATTCACAGATTCTGAAGACTCTGAAGTCGAAGAATCTAATGATGTGGAATACAAAACTCCAAAGCAGCGAGTGACTATAGCGAAAGTGAAGCCTACTATGAAGATATGCAGGCCTGTAAATGTTCCCCCTACTGGCCAGTTGATGCCACCGATTTACAATGTGCCTCGAGTTTTGTTGCCACCCAGCATCAAAGACACTGGAATCCCTTGCAAAATGTGTGGAAAGGTTCACACTCGGGATCACTTTTTTAAGTATATGGAATTAAAGTCTACTGATCAACCACACCGTTGTCCACTCTGTGGCCAATATTTCACATGGAGTTGTCTGTTCATTGAACACATGAGAAGCCATCCAGAGAACACTGCTCAGTACCGGTGTGAATACTGTAATGCTGTCTCTCGGAAGATCTCAGCTTACTTCAACTGCCGGATCACGCATTCTCCACCTTCCCCAGAATGGCTTGAACTACAAAAGACATGTGATGAGTATCTTGCCACTTTGAATGCAGCAAAAGAGAAGAAAAATAATCGGTATACTAAAATGATTACAAACAAAGTTGTGAAACCTGAAGTGAACACTTCAGCAACAGTATCTAAAAATAATTCTGTGAATGTGAATGAAGCAAAGGATAAAAATGCTCACTTTCCTAATCCTAAAATAACCCCAAACAAAGTTGTCAAGACTGAAGTAAGTAGCAAAACAATAGAAACTAAAGATTATCTTGTAAATGTGAATGAAGCAAAAGATAAAAAAAATGCTCGATGTAATAAGATAACACCAACCAAAGTTGTTAAGCCTGAAGTAAGTAATACAACAGCAGAAATTAAAGATGTGCAAGAAAAACTTCAGATGAATGTTGGAAAAACAAAAAGCAGAAGTTCTGGACGAAAGAACCTCACCTCCAAAAAACCATTTGAGTGTAAAGTATGCCGAAAGACATTTCTTACTTTTGATTTCCTCACAAAACACAAACAACTGCACAAATCAAAGCGTCCTTACTCCTGTAAGAAATGTGGCAAGCGATTTGCTACCCGGGCATACTTTACAGTACACAAGCGCACCTACCACAGCGATAGTGAGAAAACACTCAAATGTGAAGTGTGTGGATTAGTCTTCTCCTACATTCTTGCTTACAACAATCACCTAAATCGGTTAGGACAGTTGTCAGAAGAGGAACACCGAAAGCGGTCACTGCAGCCTCATGTCTGCCATATCTGTCAGCGAGGGTTTAAGATCAAACAGTCTTTGGTAAACCATGTGCGCACACACACAGGAGAACGGCCATTCATCTGTGAAGTTTGCAACAAGGGTTTTACCCAAACTGGCAGCCTTGACAGACATCAGCGTATTCACCAGCGAGACACTCGGGAGAAACCTCGGCGTCAAGAGAAGAACTATTCGTGCAAACCATGCAAGAAAACCTTTACTTATGAAATGGCATATCATAATCACATGAGAAGTCACTTGGAAGAGAATAGGTTTTCCTGCGACTTTTGTGAACAAAGCTTTCCAACTGCTCAACTTTTGAAAACTCATAAACACAATGAGCAACGTCCATTTAAATGCAAAAACTGTGGACGGTGTTACAAGCTAAAACAATCACTCACAGAACATAAACGAGTTTGTAGTTGCTAATAACAACAGCCTGTATTCCAAACATTTAAAGGAGAAGCAGTAAAAAATGAGGGCTATTTTTGTCTGTGTTTGACACTTAAGGCAAATCTTCATCCTGTGCACATCTGATCATCATCTCAGACCGATTTAAGTAACTTGAATTAGCAGATGTTTGCAGATCCAAGTAAAAAGAGACCTTTTTTCTTTTTTTTATACATATTTGAGTAAATAATCCAGTTTCTAATGAATAAATCTTGTATCTTGGTTATTTGTTTAAAACCTCTTCACCTTTTCTTTTCATAAGAATTCAGTTTATGCAATCTTCACTCGAACTTGTGTATGTAGTAGGTGAATACATTCATAAACATGTATGTTCAACTCTTTTTTTTTTTTTATGTCTATGAATGTCTGTATAAACATACATACATACATACATACAATATTGGTTGTACTTTTATTAAAATTAACTTTTTTCTTGTTTCAGTCCAAATACAATGTTTTTATCATTTATAAAAAGATTAGCCAATAGAAACTTTGTAATTTAAATGTTTATAATGGTTTCAGCTATATTTTCTGCCTTTGAAATTCTTTTAATGAATTATAAAAATCAATGTTGACATTCTTGTATGTGAATTAAGATTTCTATTGTTCACTATTTAACACATGGATGCTCCTGCTTCTTAAAAGAAAAAAAGACTGGTAAAATTGAAGCAAATTACCAAGTGTACAAATCTGTAGCATAATATGTGCATTAATTATACTGGGTGTTAAATTTTTGATGCAATGAATTAAACAGTTGCTAATGTTACTAACACTATCATTTTTGTGTATTAGTGAGTGAAACTTCACTGTAATTGTGTAGCTGGTGCTAGTTATCAAAATAAAATGTTACTTATCAACCAATTTAAGTTATTTTCTAAAGTGGATGGTGATTTTGTGTTGGCAGTGGTTGGTAAAGCCACTTTGAAAATTTCTATTGATTTTCAACAAATAGAAAGTGATATATCCACAAACCCTATTTTCATGTGAACTTTTCATTGAAAAAAAGTTTTTTTGTAATCTAAATATGTATAGAAAAATATCAAAACTAGTACCCACATGTACTGGTTCTTTTTCTTTTCAGGATTTTATAGCGGTTCATAGAGGAAGGAAAATTTATATTTTCCCTTGTTCCTTCAAAACATTTCTCCTGCTACTACTTTTTATAATGCTGTAATGTAAATATTGTACTATACTTCTATTTCAGACATATGCCAGAAAATTTAAAATAAAAATTCAATGACTGAATCTGTAACTGAAACCCAAACAAAATCCCCTTTTTTTTTTTTTTTTTCATTAGGAATGTATATTTTAAAGACTCAATTTTGATTTAATGCGTTTGCATATTTATATATTTTGTGAAACACTTGTGCTTATATTCTTCTGACTTAATGTGCACAACATACTGAATTGTTTAAAAGTCTCAGCTATTGCTGTATGTAAATAATTTACACACAGCTCCCTATTTTTTTTGGTTTTTTTTTTAATCTGTATTTTTGTATGGCTTTTAGAGTTTATAATTATGGTGTTATGGTTTTAAATAAAACAACCACGTACCATACTTTTGCTAGCTATTTTCTTCAAAACTACTGCTTCTATATAATATTAAAGGACGTTTTCATCATCCTCACTGCTTACATTACTGTTGCAATCATTTTGAATTGTGATCATAATTGTGATTCAAGACAAGATACGTAACTTTTGTACAGTGAATTGTGAGTTGTCTAAATTTATTAGATCAATAATTTTAAAAAGAAAATCCCAATGCATATGTACAATGATAAAAGTAAAATCAGTTAACTATGCAAAATGCACAATTGAAATATGAAAAGTGTACTGCATCTACTAAGGAAACTGAAACTGACATCTCTGTCACCTACCAGGGAAAGAGAGAGTAAAATTAAACTAAATAAAAAGGGTGAGGATCATACATACTTCCTTTGAAGTTAGCTAGGGTAACTAAAGAAAAAAAAAACACACCTACCCCTTTTTTTTTACATGGTTGCCAATGTTTAGTACTGAGGACCAAAATTCTTAAGCCGAATTGATCCTTTTCACTCGACACAAATGCAAAACTGCCAACCACCTTTCACCAAATAGTGATGAAGAGAGCCATGATCTTCCCATCCTGATCTTGACTTTTAAGCTGATGCTTAAAAGACAATATCAGTTGGGAAGTGGTAAACTTCTAATCCCATAGAATTCCTTGTTGCATTGTCCATACCACCCAGCAAGCACTCAGTGTTCAGACTTAATCAGTGGTAGTATCACATTGCTACAGACAGAACTGGCCTTGAGAGTGAAGAACTTTCTGCTCAGCATGCAAATCCTGAAATCTTCAATTGACCTGCACAATGAGTGCACGACACTGCAGTGGAAGAAGGTATGTTAATTTCCAATTGGAGCTTTGAAACAAACCAGACACTTGCAAAGCCTGTCTGTCTAGAGGAAAGGTCCAGGAAGAGAAACTCCCATGTGCCTAAAAGCAAGCCAACAAAGTTAAGATGAAGTTTTGTTCAAGAGCTGTTATTTGCAAACAACTAGAAACAAACACCAAAAGTATAGTGTTGAGAATTTTTTTCAAAAAGAGGAAAACGTCTCTTACCAATATTTCTTGTTCAACAGATTGTGCACCATTGATGATAGGTCATTTTGTGGGGAAAAAAGTAATACCTGGTGTATTTTATTGTACTCTGTAATCCACAGGAACCATCTGGTTGCAGAAAACCTAAGTAGTCAACTTCACCGATCACAGCAGTAGATAAAATGAAGGTATATGCTTTCAATACCTGACATTTTCATCAGACCTCTACTGAGAATGATGATGATTTTGAATATTGTTGCACACACAAATTAGATGACTCAAAAGAAAACTGACGTTTCTATTCCTCTTTTAACACAGATGTTGAATTCTCCCAAAAGTCCAATTTTGCTCTCTGAAAAACTAAGAAACATCAAGCATTGCATTCTAGAATTTATAAATGAAGTTAATTTGCATCTGCGGTTAATCCATCAAGGTCAAAACTATCCTTTCTACATTTCTTTCCCAGTTATAGAAACGTGAATTCTTCCAGTTTCCAAAGGCTTTCTAAATTAGAGGAGTTGAGCATATCAATGACTTTCAAGTGTGTGTGTATATATATATATATATATATAGCACACCTGGGTGAGTTAGAAATGTTTGGCAATTTTCAGAATTTTTTTTCTGAAATTACTAGGCTGTTTCATTGACCCAAGAATAGTGGAGGAAGACCTGATTTCACTCAAAATGACAAAACTGAGGTCAAAATTCAAAAAGATCATATCAAGATTTTTTATTAGAGAAAATATTTCTGGCCACTAGCCTGCACTTGGAATAAAGTCAAGATATAATACTTCATTGCCATTGCAATATCATATTTAGTGCAAGTAAAGAGACAGATTAAAATTTACTGAACATGGAGATCTAAAACTTTTCGGTGATATCCAGTCCAATGTTGACAATTTCATATCTGCACAAAGTACATTTTTCATCTCATTAAAACTAAATTCACCCTTTCATGTTGCTAAACCAGCTAAATAAATTGGTTAACTAGGTCTTTGTGAAATGCCTGTTTATTTAGTGTTAGATTAGTTATTTTGACTTTGCAGTATACCTTTTTTATGAAGAAACAATGTCTTCATATGTTTGTGGGGCTCGAGGTGTGACTTAGAAGCCAATGGAGTGGCAGCTAGAAAATGTTTGGGAAAAACTGACACTATTTGATACAGGCAAATAGAAAGAAAAGTGTTAACACAAAAACATAGCTCAGAATGAGACAAGAATGGTTAATGAATAGAACAATGGACAGACTAAGAGAAAGAAGAAAGATTTCTCTTTTCCAAGAGAAAAGCTTAATTCTATAAAGCCAGAAAAATTACTTAAGGAAAGGCGATAGTACCACAAGAAGCCATGTGGTGATCTTTAAGCTGACCCAACTCCAAAGTATCTGTTATGAAAACAATATAAGCAGGACAGATAAGATTTTTGATCTGTGAATAGAATTTCTTTGTATAACCTAGAGTATTTGGAGTGTAATGACCCTAGCAGTGTTGGGGGGGAAATAGCTGACCAGAGGACCACCTGGTAAATTTATGATTTTTAAGCAAAGCCAGGCTGAGAAAATGTTCCTTACGCAAAATTTTAAATGATAATTTTAATTAATGACCATAAGTTAGGCCACGCCAAGCAGTAGAGAGCCAGATTGGTTGAAGGGTAGCCAAGGTGGCAGGCGCAGGTAAAATATCAAAGGAGGCAGAGGAATTTCCCCCACCCATTGGCGAGTGTTGGTGTGAGTTACCAAAACGAGGAAGTTATCGGGGCAGATCGCTGCTTATAGAAAAAGGGATCTTAAATTTGGAGAGGTAATTAATTTTCCAGAGCCAGACAACAAAAGACCTAGTCTCCTAACCACGTCGGACCCTATGCCAGTTTTGGGCGAATGTCAATAAATGCAAGAAATTGAAGTGGCCGAGACAGTTGTTCCATTCACCGGATGAGAGACAACTCCACGTGACTTCCTGTCTGAAAAGAACCTCCGACATAAGTCTTGTGCCCAAAGCTTTGTCCAGACAGCTAAATCAACTGAAGTGTCATGTCTAACTTACAAAGCAGGAACGGCCAATATTTTGCTACATGAAGAACTAATAATTTTTAATATCGAAGTCACCAAATCCTGTACAAAGTTCGTAGATATAAAGACATTTTCTTTTACTCAAATTATTTTTTTTTTCTCTTGTGACTTCACTTTGCCTGGACCAACCCAATAAGACAATTCCTGTCAACGATTCGATCTTTGCCAACCTTATGATTAAAACCAAACACAGCGTGGGATAAGGCAAGACTTGGATCGAAGCAGTCAACTCATCGATCAACCGCGAGCATTGGACATCAGATGTACTGGTCAAGAAGAAGGCTACAAACTTCCTTTTTTTGCTTGTAACAAGTGTATTTTATTTGAAGT